CTCGTTACCTCAGGCTAGCATCTATCAAAATGCTATAACTGAAACTACTAATATTTTGTATATGAATTTTACCTTGATTTATACGTATTACTTGCTATTCTATAATTATATGAAATTTTGTATAAATGTTATACCATGATAACTTATAAAAGCGCTTGCTGTGGATCTAATTATTACATGAAAACTTAGTTGGTTGGTTTTTTGTTTAAAGCCGCACTCAGCAATATTCCAGCTATATGACAGCGGTCTGTAAATAATCGAGTCTGGACCAGACAATCCAGTGATTGATATCATGAGCATCAATCCACACAATTGGGATCGATGACATGTATCAACCAAGTCAGCGAGCCTGACCACCCGATCCCGTTAGTCGCCTTTTACGACAAGCATAGTCACCTTTTAAGGCAAGCATGGGTTGCTGAAGACTTATTCTACCCCGGAATCTTCACAGGTCTGAAAACTTAGTATAAATGTTTTATCAAGATACTATTTCAAGACCGCAACGGGACACCATGATTTGGAGAAACTATAAAACAAACTAAGAAAGCTGTGTCTTGCAATCACCTGTGATCCATGCATCCAGCATAAGGATCGTCCTGGTTACTTTCATCACTATTTTTGGTTCACAGGTTCAAACATATACATAGGGACTCACTTGTACTTCTTCCTGAAAAATCACCCATTCATCTTCCGAGAAACATTCACATTCCATGATAACTCAAAAACAAGTGTCACTCTGAGAGATGGACATATCGGCATGTTAGGATCAATTTGTTTTCACAATAATACGAAAAGGAACGAAGTAAGTATGATCGATGCCTCATCATTTTACACACAGATCAGCCAGTATTTCCAACAAAGAAAAGTCTAACCAAAATGAATAAAATTGTTTAATTTTGTATTGGAGAATGGCTGAGGGTCAAAAAGAGTGAAGAATAGACTTGTTTTGCAGAGAGTGAGTGAGTTTGGTTTTACGCCGCCTTTAGCAATATTTTAGCAATATCACGGCGGGGGACACCAGATCCTTTGCAGAGAATATTGCAGCCAATACTGACGAAGGCTTGTTTGGTAGGGTGCGAACGGAGGGGCGTCCCTGTTGTGCAATCAAGCATGTAATTTGGGAGGACATTTCCTTCAACATGACCATATATGGAGCATCTGTATATAAAGACCCCATCTTCCCTGTATTTTCGTTTCTGCCTTTGAAATTGACAGACAGTATAAGTGCAAATAAATCTTATTTATGCACTGCTTTTGATATTTTGACTGCGATGTTTGCATTAACAATGTTACGATCTATCCAATTCTGCAAAGTGGAATATACCCATGAGGCTTGCACTTAAAGGGGCACTGATCTAACGCAATTCCCCGGGACTGGTTGTTGCCTTTGTTATTGTTTTTTCCCAGTGAATACCCGGATGTATAGCAGAAATCTAGACTAGTTCGCGACCTCTGCTGCGCCATTCGTAAGCGCATTAGTCACTTTTATGGGTAGTAATAAGGGCGTATGGTCACATTGATCAACAAAAGGAAATACAGTTTTCGAGATAATAAGGAAATGTAGGTATCTTTGTGAGCAGCATCGGTAATGGTGACGAAGTTTTGATAAGTCACTTGCTTGGTAATTTGCGATTTTCGTTTACACTATTTTGACTTGCAACACAAAGTATATATTTCACCTGAGCATATGCTTTTTTTATAGTGTGTATATTTTTTTACTGTCAAATGTGTAACAAATTTATTAAACGTCTAAATATTCAGTTATTTTACAAAGTGACTGTAAAACATTTCCATCTGTATTATTATGACAACGAATTCCAAACATTTTGATGTTTATGTCATCACCAAGAGACTGAAAATGTAACGTTGAAAAGTACATTTCTAAGTTGTTTGGCTTTTAATCCTACATAATAATCTGTTGTGATGTTTGTAGGCCTTTTTGATCGTCTTGATCAATCTGGACAGATTTTTTAGTCAAAATGACTGAAATATTTACACATTTTATAAATTGCCTGAGAGAATCACATTTTACAAATTGACGGTAATATATACACGCTTACAAAGGAAAAGACCTGTGACAACAACGTCTATCGCGCATTGAAGAATTTCCCAACCAAGACGTAGAGAAACAAGAACGAATCGGTTCAAATGAAGGAAAACAAAATGCAGATATCATAATTACAACCTACCAAATTTATGTGTATAAGTTTTAGGCAGCTTCCTTGTTGGAGGAATGTATCCGTGAATATCCACACAAAGGAACAATATCCCACTCGTCTGCAGCTGTACAAAGAAACTTATTCGATGTCACCTGTCTCAGTAACAATCAAATATTTTAAAAGATATATATCGTTTCGGGATATTATAACCCGTGTTCTCAACTGATCGCTTGGATTGTTTCAGGTGTTTTACATAGGTGTCAATTCTCAATGGTCGGCTGAGAAAGCCCACGTGACAACTATTTTCATAGCGTCCACGGTTCCTAAAAATTCCATTGAGTGATAGATAACAATGATCAATCAATCAACGTATTATCAGTTAACCCTTTGAACAAAGTATGTTGTTTTTACATCGGCACTTCGCGCCATGATATGAGTGTATTCCCTTTGTTTTAGTAAACCTAGACATGTAAACACTCACTCTTGACATATCCACTGTGCAAGATAACAGTGATTAATCAATCAACGTATTTTCTGTTAATCCTTTGATGACTAGGAACGATCCGTTGATTTACAAAAAAAAGTAAATCAACTGATCATTCATCTCTTGCTGGGCTGCCACGTGCATATTACATAACACACATTTCACCTCACTTCAAACCTGGATTTAGATTGAATAATTACCCCAGACACAATAAATGCCAAATGGGAACCTTTGTCAGGTAATATAAGTGGTGCTACCACTAATTGTACCTGTAATAAATTCATTAACTGAGCATCAAGTGAATGACGACAAATACACAAGTGTAGGGTTATACGAGAAAACGTGGATGACGCAAGCCGAAATCCGAAAATGCTTTCACTGCATGGATACTGTTTTTAGTATTAAACTATAACCATCTGGGGTATTTCCAAATGACGACATCCGATGAGCTCCCTTGTTCTTTTTGTCTGTTTGTTTAGGCTGAAGAAATTAATTAACATGCGCCCTTTGTCGAAATCTTTATAGATCACAGTTAACCAATCAGTGTTCAAAAATGCGTAAAACAAATATTGCCTCCAGCCTCCAAGTTTATTTAGCTGTCCTTGCAGACGGTACCCCAGTCTCTGGTCTCACGCTCAGTTGCGTTGCGTATCATCCGGGTACTCACGGGGGGAAAACAATAACAAAGGCAACAACCAGTCCGTTAGATCAGTGCCCCTTTAAAGGCCTAGTCATTTCTTAAACAAGAGTGGGATATTCTATTATACCCCAGAGTCACAAATCAGCTTCATAGCTCTGTAGTTTCCAAAATGTCAACAACAAAAAAGTTCCATTTTCAATAGATTTTGCATATTGCTAGACTAACAGTAACACCTATAGCCTATGAAAACATTTCTTTAAAATAATCGTAATTTATTTTTGTCAAAAGAGCCTTTCCTCCTCTCCTATGTAGAGTGAAGGAAACTAGACTTGGTTTAGATTTATCTCGACTTGCCCAGGCTTTTTTTTGTAACAAAAATCATACATGTATATAATATACTAGGGCTGTTACAGTTCACTCGCATATTCGGGGAAACGAAAAGTATCCCTTCATGAATTGAATTCATTATTCATGGCCACTAGAATTGAATATTTATGAATATGCAATCATGTGCATTTACATACCCTGTACCTAAAAAATATCCATAAGAACATGTTATATGCATAGATTTCTATAAAGACAACACTCTTACAATATTTAATTTGACAGTATTGTGGTCACTGGTCATTGTCGCATTTGAGCAGATACTAGTACCTGGATAAGTGCAGTATATAAATGTATAATATATTAATAATTAACAAACCATGTCATATAATTTATGTTGTTGATGTTTCACTGAATATAACAAATAATACTTCAGCTGCTGACTTGTTATTGTATTCGTGAATTAATATTCGTATTCGTTACTCTGATACAAATCATATTTCGCCTCATAGTGTAATCGTTGCAGCCCTAATATAGTAATATACACATATAATTTCCACAGTCATGTGCAGGACTGGCACATTTGCCTACATCCATGCCTTTTTTGTTCAGGTGAATAGGACACACAATGCAGGTGCCTGCTCAAAAAGTATACAGAATCCAAAAGAGTTGGTCATGCACCATGACTGTGGCATTTATATATTTTTTAGGTAGTTTTTTTAAACTAAAAGCCTAGGCAAGTCTAGATCAAACTAGAATCTACACCAAGTCTACTTTGCTTGATTACACATATGCACAACAGCAGAAGAGGAAAGGTTTTTTGGAAGAAACAAATTATTATAATTTTAAAGAAATGTTTTCATTGACTAAGTGTTGGTCCTAAAAAGAGTGTCAAATGATACTTGTAGGTTTCTCGTCCCCTCTCACAACTAACAGTGTGCATTCTGACATGTATTCTTCGCTAAACTGTGCAAATGAAATACAACGTATCAGCTGTCATATGACTAAAGCTGCTAACATAGCATATATTGAAAATCGGTTCTTGAGTCCCATTCGCAGTCAAGATTAAAAAAACTTATAGGCCCTAACACTGGAATTTATGACAACTGTGCTCCGTCAATTATATTTTATCCTTTACAGTGCCAAGGCGACATTGTTGACTGTTGCATCATAAGATCGCCCCAAGCTCAATCAATATTAATCCAAGTCGAGTCTAAACTTTACAGTGTACACGATGCGTGTACACCAGCGAGCGCTTCAAATGCAAAGTACTGACGGTCCCTTGCTTACAGTGGCGTTCTTTGTGCTTATTATTTGTCATTTACGCAAAGCAATACGAACATCTGCATTGATGAAATATGGCAACATAGGATGTCAAGAAGAAGTACCGTACCTCGATGTCAGGAATATCCCTGCTTAGTGCTGTGCTCGCCATGTTGTTAACGATTCTCCGCCTGGGCCACCTTTGACCCACGTCTCCCTCTGACCCACTTTCCCTGGCGACTCGCCATGAAACAATCTTGCGATGCCAGTGCAAATATCTTTGGCTAAATGTCACAAACAGATATTTCCTCATGACTTAAACAGTAACCAGTCCGGGGAATTGCGTTAGATCAGTGCCCCTTTAAGAAGGTTACATTTATTAACAAAATATGGCAAACCATACATAGACGCTATAATGTTTCTTTTTCCGTGTCCATGTCAAATCATCATATGACACGATTTGGGGTCAATGATCACATTCGCATTCAGTATGAGGTCAGTAAACTAGAGAAATAATAATATGTGACATTATGACATTATAACACGAATTGCGAATGATTTCAAAACATCTACTCTTCCGGTTGAAGTTGACGTGGGTATTTTGCATCAAGTGAAACGGTTTCAAGCCAAAACAACATTCGTATCGATTACAACTAAATCAACTAAATCAAGTTTTAGGGATTGCCTACAAGTCGGGCCAAGAAAAGTCGGGCCGGGCCGGGCCAGCGGGTAATACTAAAAATGGATTGCAGAATAATAAAACGAAACGCGCATATCTAGGCAGATCTCAAATGTCCACAAACGTATAGTTTTGCTCATTTAATTGAGTTTGTATAAAAATGCACCTTCAACAATGTAATTACCGTATTCGACGTAATAAACGCCCAGGGCGCTCTCAAAATTACAGATAGGGGGTGAAAAAAACCGGAGTTGAAAGATCGTAAATTCCGTGGTTTATGCTGACAGTCTGAAATAATACAAAATAAAAGTCTATGCGTATTATACACGACATATATATTTTTCCAGAATTTAATTGCCCATAATTAAGGGTGCATATAACACACGAGTGTGTATTATACACGAATAAATAAGTCTTGTGCACATTATTCAATCGGAAGGGGTGCTAATAGGGATTGTTCACTAGCCAATATATTAGCAAATATCGCCGTGGGCGTTTATTAAAGAGGGGCGCTTATACGGCGAATACGGTAACTGATGATTATGACTACATACCGTGAGTCAGCGTCTTGACTGTGTGTATTCTTTGATTAGAATGCTTCTCACCGACCTTAGTGTGTAGGGGTGTGATGTCCTGGGCAGGAAACGACAGTGTTTCGACTACTCTTCTTTCATTAATTAACGTGTTAAGGTAATTAACCTTTACTAATTCGTGTTAAACAACACAGGATGTTTTCTGGAAGTGGATATTCGCGAATGTCAAAAGACTGACACGACACGTTTTAATAACTGTCCAAGCACTTCTAACTGGCTGACTGACTGATATAGAAGATTTAACGTGCGCTTTCCGACTGTAGCGTATTTCGCACACGGGCCTGGCCAGACCATTTAGTGTATTCCGAGAAGGGTGAAAGTGGTGTGTGCAACCCAAGAGGGGGCTTTTAGGGGTTGCTTATATTGATTTTTTGAAATTTTTAAATTTGGAATAAATGCCGAGGTGGGTGGAGGAGGGAACTAAGGGAGCCGGGTGAGGTGGGTGTTTGTATGTCTATTGGATTTTGGATTGGTAGATTAATTAGTTTTTAGATGCGCTTAATTAGGTCTGTTTTGATTAGGAATACGCCTAGGGCCTTGAAGTTTTCTAGCTTATTTTGAGGGTTTAGTATTTCATCTAGAGTAGGAACCTTATTTAGATTGAGGTTGGTTTGTAGTGTGGTTCTGTGTGTTTGATAGTGGGTGCAGTGGATGAGTGCGTGTTCTGTGGTTTCGGGTTGTTTGCAGTGGGGGCAGTTTCCTGTGGTGTGTCTTTTAAGTTGTTTTAGGTGGTTATTTAGGTTAGTGTGTCCTGTTTGGAGTTTTGTAATTAATCTGTCAATTTTTTTTGAGGGGTGTAGCATTTTAGGTTTGGCTAGTGGTTTTCTGAGCACTTTTTTTATTTGGCTATTTGAGTTTTGATATTGATTATGCCATTTTTTGGTTATTTTTTGTTTGTTTACACTTTTAATTTCTGATTTTGAGATGGGTAGGTTTAGGCTTATTTCTGGTATTTTGAGAGATAATTTAGCTGCTTTATCGGCGCTTTCGTTGCCGTAAATTCCTAGGTGGGCAGGGATCCACAAGAAGGTTATTTGTTTGCCTGCTTTTGTTAGGTCGTTGGAGCTTTTAAGTATTTGGTTTATTAATTTAGGTCGTTTTTTGGTATTTTTGTTTTGGAGGGCTTGTAGTCCACTAAGGGAGTCGGTGAGAATTAGGATTTTTGTGTTGTTTTTAGATTGTTGGTTATGCAGGGCTGAGGCCATGCCCATAAGTTCGGCCGTGAATATAGATTGGTTGTTAGGGAGTCGGTAAGATTGTGTGGATATAACTGGTTGTGTGGTATGGACTCCGAAACCTGTGTGGTTGGAGATCGGGTCTGAAGATCCGTCAGTGTATATGTGACACCAATTTGGCCAATTTTCGTGTATGTATGCAAGTGTGGTGGTTTTATCTATGTTTGGGTCGGTTTGTTTATTTATTTGGTTTGCTAGCGTTGTGTCTATTTGGGGTATTTTGAGTTAAGGGGTGAAGATATTTGATTTTTTGCAGTTTTGTTTAAGATTTTGAGTTTGGTGTTCATTGAGGTAGTTAGTTATTCTTTGGGATATTGGGGTGAGTAAGGGGTGTTTGCGAGCTAGAGCTTGGTTTCTTGGGCTAATGTTTTGGTTAAATAGGTTTTGGATGAGCGGGTTTGTTTGGGACGCGGCCCAGAAATTAAGGCTTAGATGTTCCCTGCGTAGATTTAGTGGCATTTCTCCTGTAAGGGCCTGAAGTGAGGTGTAGGAGGTGCCATGTTGGGTGCGTGTAATTAGTTTAAGGGCTTGGTATTGTATTGAGTCAAGTTTTTTAGATAGAGAGTTGTTTAGGGTGTTGTATATGGCGCAGCCGTAGTCTAGTTATGATCTAATTAGTGTTGTATATAGTGAGAGGAGGGTATCTTTGGAGGCTCCCCAGTTAGAGCCGGTGAGACATCTTAATGTGTTAAGGTCTTTGCTGCATCTAGTTTTTAGGTTTTAGACGTGAGCCTCCCAGGTGAGGTGTTGATCGAAAATAAGTCCTAAGAATTGGGTTTGTTTTTGGAATTTGATTGTTTGGTTGTTTAGCTGGAGGATTGGGTAGGCAGGTTTCATGTTTTTATGTTTGAATACTACTCCTGTTGTTTTATCTGAGTTGAGGGAGAAGCCCCATTTGTCTGCCCATTGTTGTATTTTATTTAGAGATTTTTGGATTAAGTTTTCTGCCATTTTAATGCTTTTTGTGCGGATCCATAGGGCACCGTCATCCGCGAATTTTGAAGTGTTTAGTTTTGGGGATAAGCCCTCGAATAGGTCATTTATCATTATATTGAAGAGGGTTGGGCTGAGGATGCTGCCCTGGGGAGTGCCATTTTCTAGGGGACACTGGTCCGATAGCGTATGGTCTATACCCACGGTAATTTTGCGATTGTTTAGGAAATCTTGGATGAAGTTTATTATTTGGCCTTTTAGTCCTATTTTTTTAAGTTTTTGTATTAGCCCGTGGTGCCATACCATATCGAAAGCTTTAGAGAAGTCGAGGAATATGCCTATGGTGTATTGCTTGTTTAGCTGTCCTGTTTTTATATCCTGTTCTAGTCGGGCAAGGTTATCGAGAGTTGATCGGCCAGGAGTGAAGCCGCTTTGGTCGGGGTTTATGATGTTGTTTTGGTCTAGGTAGTGCTGTAGCCTATTTTTAGTCATAAGTTCCATTATTTTGCAGAGATTTGAGGTTAGGGAGATGGGCCTATAGGAGTTTGCCTGATCTGCTGGTTTATTTGGTTTAGGTATTGGGATTACTAGAGCTTCCTTCCATGAGGATGGGACCTGTCCGTTTAGGTAGACTAGGTTGTATAGTTTAAGTAAAGTGGAGTAGTTTGGTAGGTAAGTGTTTGATTATTTGGTAAGAGGTGAGGTCTAGACCAGGGGCTGTTCCATTTTTTCTATTTTTTAGTACGTGATTTAGTTCTTCTATGGTGTAAGGTTGATTTATTTCTAGGTTGTCTTGTCTGTTTTCTTTGGAGAATTTGGTTTCTTTATTTAGTTTATCTTGGAATTTCTTACTGAAGTTACTGTTGCTACTAACTTTAGAGAAGTGTTTGGCTAGGTTGTTGGCCTTTTGGGTGGGGTTAGTTGAGTTGTTTATATTGGGGCTTTTTTGTGCCGTTTGATGCCTCGGATGGCGTGAATTTTGCGCCACACCTTCCTAGCGTCGGTGTGGTGGTTTAGCTGGTAGGTTGAATTTAGTTTTATGTGAGAATTTGGTTTCTTGAATACAAGCTACATGGGAACCTTTATCTATTTTGAATTTAGCTTTAAGTTCAGAACCATGGCCGGCGAGGCCATTGGCATTCCATTGAAAAATGTTTAGGCCTTCCATTGGGAAACTGGGTGAATTTATGTTTGGTTTAGGCTTGGTTTAGGTATTTACTTTAGTAGGTTATTAAGGTTGCTGCTGAAACAGTCAAAAGAGGTGGTGACGAGTTTTAGTTTATGTGCTACACCAAAGAAGGCTTTGGAGCTGGCTTATGGATTAGACTGCTTTAACATGTAAGCTAGTAGGATGACTAAGTTGTTTAGTTTTTTGCTTGCTACGTTTTGGGTGAGTTTTTTTCTATAGCTTTTGGTTTTGGGGGCTGACATGGTAAGATCGTTTATTTCCTCTGAGGATGTGTACTCGTCCTCTTCGGTTAAGTTATCTTTAGTTTGGTCACTCTCTTCGGTGGTGGGTTGCATGCTGGGTTTGGGTGAGAGAGTCTGAGTGGTTTCTGTAGTTTCCCTGTTGACTGGGTGTTCGGGGGGTGCCTGTAGGTTTTGGAGTGTTGTTGCCCTTGTGGCTGTGATGGCTTGTGTTGGTGCTGGTTGTGTGGTGGTCGTTGTGCGTTGGGTTTTGCTTGCGGGTGTAGATGTGGTAATTGTGGGGTGAGAGGCGGGGAGGGTGAGAGTGTGAGTTTGTGGGATGTGTGGGGTGTTTGTTTCATTTGCGATGTATGCGTCTCGCTGATTTTGGTCCCATACGGAGATTGGGTATACTGTTTTGCGTGCGTTAGTGTTGTTGTTTGGGGGTGGTGTTGGTAGTAGTTGTTTGTATGCTTGCGGTGTGGGTTTTTTGGTTTGGATTTTGGCCGTGTTTATGTCTATATGTCTGTTGGCCTGTTGGGTGAGTGATAGTCTGTGGGGGCATTGGTTCGAGAGTGATGAGTGTTTTATGGATTTGCAGTGGATGCACCAGGGTGTGCATATGCCTGGACAGTCCGTTTGGGCAGAGGTTTTTGCATTCTAAAGTTCCTAACATTATTTATATCTAAAGACTAGTATTATATCTAATTATTTACCATTTTATTGTCTCATATTTCAGTAGCATATTTCCTCTACATTCTCAACATAGTCTCTATCAGAAGTGTTTG